ACAAGACCGTGAATTGTTCCGTCTGCAACAGAAAAAAAAAAAAAAAATGGAACACAACCGTGACGTGATTCTCAAATATGCAGGATAAATCTCAACATGACTACTTGGAATAACTCGTAAATTTCGTATAAATATTGCACGGTGTAGAGGAATAATTTGACGCTATTAATTTTTTTAAATCATATACTGTTTGACAGATTCTTACATCCCCAAAAAATTATTAATTCATTTATATAGTAAAAAAAATTATTATTTTAATAGAATTTATCCAAACTATTAAAGAAATAATAAAATAATTTTCGAATAATAGAATACAGATTTTTCTTCGATGAATTAATTCATATTTTAAAAAAAGTACGTTTATTTACAATAGAATTAAATAATGGTATAGAAAACAGTTTTTATTATAAAATTAGATTATTTTTTTGGCTATCAAATTGTACAAATTTTTTTAATATACATTTGTATTTCATTGAATTTTAAATTTTTTTAAAGTTCTTTTCCACTATCTTAAAAATTTTGAAGAGAAGCATATTTTCACTTATTATTTTCAATTCATTTTTCTATTATTTCAATATTAGAACTTAAAATATTAATAATATTCTCCTTATTTTTATTGGATTTGAATCATACTATGATTAATCTTTTATTGCATTTTTCATCTATCATATTCTGATATACTCTGCAATATCGTAATAAATTTATCGTATCGAAAATAAATTTTTCTAGAGAAATACTTTTTTCTTTAGAGATATTCATATTCATTTACAGTATACAGTTTGGATAATAAAATATTCTAAGATATTCGAATAATGTAATTCTATTGTATTTTTATTTAAAAGAGAAAATATGAATAAAACGTATTTATTATCTTTCATTTTATAACTTTTGATACAAAATTCAAATTAAAATCTCTCAAAATAATAATCTCTTATTATAAATATTAGTTTATAGAAAATAATCTATATCGATTAATATACTAAAACTAGATCTAGTCAAAGAAAATATAACCTTAATTTCTATATATTCTTCATATGTCCATATTCTTGCAAAAAAAATAAAATTATATCCATTTCTAAATCATACAATTTTCGTATAAAATATTTTATCATAAAATAAGTAATTCGATTTTAAATAATATATAATATATATATATAATTTATTCTAAAGAATCACGATACAAAAATCACTTTGAACATAAAACTGCTTACTACAGAAAAATAGAAACATCGGTAATAATGGAACACATGCGCCACCGTGTGGTTTTATTTTCAATCATTCGTCGAGCACAGTGGTACGAAAAGATCCATCTAATAATTTGATTTCTCTCGCGTGGGCGACAAAAGTATCGTTTCAAAGCCGAGGATTTTTCATTCAGACGGTTTGATCGCAGTTTATTCTCGTAAATCACCACTTATCTTTCGTGCGCACGATATTTATTAGCGGTATAATTACGCGTGTAGTATGAGAGGAAACGTCACCGAGGGCTATGTCGAACGTTTCGCAACAACGACAGTGACAAGGATCCATGGTGGATCGTGATCGATGCTTGTTAAGAGTAAGTACAAGCTCTCTAGGCGGCAGCCATTTTCAAAAGAGATCTGGAACAGAGGGCCAATGTACTGAAAGGACAGAATTATTAACTGGGTAAACGAGCAATTTGCAACGAACTTAATCATGATTAAGCAAAAAACAATATAGGATTCATGGACGGAATTAGCTATGTTCTACTGTGATTTGATAAAATAGGAACGATTGAAGTGAAATTTTTTTGTTGTTATCTGAATATTCAAACTTGGATTTAGAAATTTGAATTTAAATTTAAGTATATTTTATACAATTTAGATTTCTTTTATCAAATAGATCTGATGGATATATATAAAAAAAAGTCCTGTGAAAGAAGTAATGTAATAATTAGTTTGCAATAAAATGTAGAACTTGTGTTGAATTAAATCAAATAACTTGAAAAAATAATGTAAAATGTAGAATTTTATTTAATAAACAAATAAAAAAAAATAATGAGAAAAAGGAGAAACAATAATATTTTGTTGGAGAATTTAATAATATTTTATTTATGAAAATAAATGTTAAAAATCATATAATTGTGAACAAATGTATATATTAAAAAATTGTTTAAATAAGAGATTCAGATGATAAAAAAATTGTCATACTAGGATTTATTTGATTTCTTTTCCAAAAATTAATCCATAATTTTTATATTTTTATATATTATTATGTTATAGTATAATGGAGTTTATAAAATCCTGCAAAAATGTTTAGAATTTAAAAAATTTATTTATTTATTTAAAGAATTGCTTTAAAAATTATTAACCAAATTATTAAATAAATTAATTTAAACAAAAATTTATTGTCGATTTATTATTATTAAGATTTATTATTAATTATTATTATATCATTACGTTAGTTTTTGATTCTATGAAAAAAATAATTGAATATACGATATTTCTGAATATACGATTTTCAATCATATTAAATGCAAGAATTCCAGAATTATAAATATAACCATTCACACGAAAAATATATTTGTCCTACTTTCTACTTTATTTACAAATTTTCGTGATCTAATTTCAAGTAAAAATGAATCTCGATTTCAAAAGTAAAAAATTTTAAAAATAGATTATATAATAGTTTTACAATATTCATAAACAATTTTAAAATTGAATATTTTAATATGTTATAATGAATTGATTTATTATGATTCACTCACAAATAAAAAATTATGGAAAATTATTTTTTTCATCCATCTAATTAAAAATTCAAAAAAATGTATATGATATAATCAGAAGAAATATTTAATATTATCATGCTTTTACATTTAACATTTCAAACAAATTTACACTCACGAGAAGTCGAAATTATTTTCCCACCAAGTCAATAATTTATTAAAAATTCAAACCACTACACGTATAATAATATACATTAATACGTTTAATATCCATGATTAACCATGCTCTTTGCACCCATTTCTTCAAGTGCACACTCCATACGTCACCTTTAACATTAACGTCGAGAAGATCGCAAGTTACAAAGAAAAACGGCGACGGCAGAATTTATTATTTAAATTCGCACGAAGCTGAGCTAAGTAAAAGTGAATATCACGGTGAAAAAACTGCCGGTTATATTAAAATTTTCGAGGATACGTGGAGAAAAGGAGGTTACGTAAATTGTGAAATATATCATCCGCAAAATAGGGGAGTGTTCCATATCCCGAATTCGATTGGACATATTTCTTCCTGTGCCCGATGACACTGTTCATTTATGGAAAATCGATTAACTGATATTGTCACGGTTTTCGATACGTAGGATGGCTATTAAGTGAAGGGATCAAGTTCATAACTACGTACATATAAAATCTGAATTATATCCAATGCAGAAAAGATTCATTTCATAGAGTTCGAATGGTACAAAGAAAATATATTATATTACACGTGTATGTTTTCACGTTGTGATACATTTGCCAGATATAGTAATATTCGGTTAACTGGAATTATTCTCGCAGGATTATTATCATACTTTTTATTACAATTTTTCAATCACACAATTTAATTGTGAAAAAATTTCGCTCATTCTATCTTATTAATCAGACATTATTATATTAAGGCTACTATTATATATTCAAATTAAAATATTATATATTTATATTTATATTTATACACGTATATGTATATTTATTTATATTTATCTAAATTTTGAATTCTTTGTTTGAATTTATCTATTTAAAAGTATTATTTTTTTTTCAAAATGAATATTTACTTATGAAATACGAATTTGTTAGAACATAAATATTTGTATGGCAAATGTGACAAATTTATTTCTTTGTCTTTTCGAATTCCAATAACAGATTATAAGTTTCCATTTTGAAACACATCCATGCTGGAATTTCTGAGATGAGTGGATTATTAAAGCAGATTTATGATATAGATTATAGGGAACCATTTAAAGCGTCATGGTTACATATATGATCAATCATGTGTGCATATATCAATTATATCAGTGTAGGTGTATCAATTATCGACAAATTAAATCGACATGTCGACTTAATAATAATAAAAGATGATCTCATAAAACTAAAATTTTTTTGAACACATAAATATCATCTATATTTATAATACATATAATTAATTAGATTAAGTTAGGAACAAAAATATGGATTAGAATGATAAAAATATTATTTCATCATTAATTTCATTGATATTTTTTATTTACAATGTTTTCATTATTATATATATGTTTGTATCATTGTATGTATGTTATTGATGGCAATTTTCAAGAATACATTACTTTTTTTACATAAAAAATAATAATAAAATATAAATATAAAATCAACGATGTAGATAAAGTCATAATTGATTATTTTTAATAGTAATTTACTGTCATTAATTTCTATTGTTTTTAATGTAATTTATGTAATATGCAAAAAAAAATATATTTATGAATATCAAGATATATCTAATAGATAAATTTCATGTTTCGCAAGAAAATCCAATAATTACTGAAATGATATGATGATACTATGATATTTTAAACATATTGATGATATTTCTGATAGTGCTGCAATTATTTGTAAAACATTATACGTTTATTATATTCATTAAGAAATATTTCAAATTTTTAAAAACAATTATTTTATATAATTATTTTAAATAATTATAATATAACTTGTATATTGTTTTACAGATACAAAAATGTGAAAAATGTACATTAGATATAATGTTAATTGCTATTTTATAAATTAAAATTATTATAATTACCTTATTATATATATAATTTTTTAACTAACAACTATTTAACTTTTTAATGACTTATCAATTTAATCAATAAAAAAATTTAATTCATTAATATAATTATAATGAATTATTTATTATTACTTATGTATTACTAAATAATTCATTACTAAATAAAAATTACTTCATTAATTATTTCTAAACCATTTTCTCATTTCTGAGCTTTGATTGATTTTATTAAACATCAGTTATTTGCAATATAATTATTTGTAATTAA